AATTCATTTTAACTTTTTATTAAATTTACAAAATTTTGAAGTATGTCCCTTTTCTACCACATTATAACAAGTTAATCTTTATAAGAGGTTTTATTTTGAATTTCTTTAGCTGTTGCTTTCTTTTAGACTTCCTAGTTTATATTTTTCTTTTAGAATAAAATTTATCTTGACTAGGTGTAGACCTGTATTGTCTTTATGCATATTATTTTTTATACTGTTTTTTAGATTTATGTGTCGCAAAGCATTGTCCATCACATTTCTGGGCAGATTTTTAAACTTATTATCAAATTGTTTAACAAAATGATCCAATTCTTTTTTAGTTTTTCTGCATTTCATATTTTATTGTTCTTTTGAAGTTTTAAGTCATTGACAATCTGCAGACCTTCTTTTTGAATTATACAATTAATTGACCATAAGTTAATTTATTGTATGGTATAGGTGGACCATATTGTTGTTTAATATTGTTCCTAACTTCTTTCTCCTAAGAAATAAGGAAGTCCAGCCAAAAAACTTTTCTTTCCAAAAGCTTTATTAAGAGTCCTTCCTTAACATTAACCTAGTTAGAAAAGTAGTTTTTATATTCTTGGAAAATTACCTAAGTGTTTACTTTTAATACTAAGTAATTTCTGCTTTTATCTTTAAGTGAGATGGATCCCCAATTAAAATTGAAGTGCAATAGTGAGAATTAAAGATGACACAGCATCCAATTATTTCACCATTCATCATTATATAGGTTCCTTCTCATTGACTTGAATTTGAATTCTAAATTTCGGAAGTTGTTGTTGTTCAGTGAGAATGATAGTCCACCAACCTTTAAGTTGTCCAGTAAATCCAGCAATAAGATTTTCTGCAATAGCTTTATCAGAAATAATTGACTGCGTTTTATAAGCATTTGCAAGGCCATGTCATTTGTCAAAATACTTATATATATATTCACTAAACATCCGATGTTCCATTCATAGATTGTTGCATTATATTTAAATTGAGATATAGTGTTAGGTTTATCAATAATGCCTAAGTCTGGTGCCCTATTTACTATTTCTCAATGATGATTTATAGGATTTAGTTTAAATTGTTTAACATCTTCTGAGTCAGGTTCACTGACATCAGAGTTGGTGTTTTCTTCTATCATATTTATGTTTCTTGAAGCCTCAGTAGTGTCAGGGGCTACTTGTTGGGTAGTTTCTGAATGAACCTCAAGTTTACTCAATTGATCTTTTAATTTATTGACAAATTCCTGTTTACTTGTCTGAGAAATTTGATAAGGTTTAAACATGTGATCTTACACTTGCGCAGCGAATACTAGTATTTGAATCCTCTCTGGTTAAAGGTTTTATTCCTACGAATTAATCCTATATGAATATATTTATAATTTTTACTTTTATGATGTTGTGCAAAAAGTTTTAAGAAAAGACAAAAAGTGATCCTGGTTCAAAAGGTTACTTAATTGAAAATCTCTTTCTCCTTGCGGTTTTTTATGTTGCAAAGTTTTAGAAGACAAAAGAGTGATCCTTTCAAAAGGTTTACTTAATTGAAAATCTCTTTCTTCGGTTTTAATTACATAATCTGTTTTAAATAAATAAAATTTAGAAACTTTATAAGGCTCACAAGTGGATTTAGATATTATGGAGGAGGTTAGTACTCTATTTTTTGTTTTCTTTGAGAGAGTAATGAACTTCTCCTTCAAATCTAAAAAAAAAAGAAGAGAGAGAGAGAGAGGATTAGAAATATTTCGCTACGAAAAAAAAGAGACAAAATTTATTATGTGCAATAGCTTTTTATACTTCAACATGGACTTCAACACAATTTCGATATATCCTTCTCCACTAAAGGTTGAAAATTGTAGAAATGGTTGTAGGATCTGGAATTAAAACAGTGGTACTCCTTCATGGATTGACTTCTGAGCCATAACAATTTCTTTGAACCGATCCTTGATCAAAGGGCTTCAAGGTACTTGTGGGAAGCTGATTGAACTTGGAATATCCTACAATAAGCCAAATTGGCGAGCCTAGAGAGGTGGTATTGTTCAAAACCAGCAGTAGTAGTGAATGGTGAAAAAAAAAAAACATTCGCATGAAGAAGCCTTGATGAAGTAAAGACAACTTAGTGATCTACGGCCTCTATAGAAGAAACATCTTATTTGTTGCTCATCCATGGTTCTAAACTTATTTATTGAAGTTCATTGGGTCATCAAAGGGAGTAATCATGCTAAAATTATTCTGTTTGATTATTAAAAAAAAAATCAATTATTGCATACAGATCTAATCCAGAAATAACAGTTATAAACTCATCGACCGAAGATGCCACTTGTACGAGGTAAGGGAGAGGTCTTCAAGTTAGGAAAGTAAGAAAACAACTAGAACTAGACAATCCACAAAGTGCTAGTCCATTTTCTGGAAGGGGTTAACTGAAATCACTTTTGAAATGCATGATATACAAAACCCAGAAACATAATGCCTATAGCATATTCATTACCATCAACAAGAGAGTATGCCAGAGAAAGATATTCCTTTGTAGGGTGGGTTGAGACATGGTAGAAAAGAAATGGCATAGTAAAATCTATATGAACTATACATGATCTAAGTAGCTAGTGCCTTATCCATAATCAATCCTTAGTTTATATGAAGTGAAATAATTTGGAAAAATCTGCAAGTTCTTGTCTATAAGGAATAAGGGCTGCGCTACAGGTAATCCAGTTAGAGCTTTAATATCCTTTAAAATGATGGACAAAAACCTTATAACTGCAAAAAGTATCCCATAGTTTAAAGAAGAGAATTAGGAGAAAGACAACTTAACTTCATCAAATGGATGAGACCAGTCTTATTTTAATAGTCTTGGTATTTAAAAGACAGAGCATTAATCCATGAGTTCCATTTAGAATTATACTGAGGCTAAGATCTTGGTTTACTAAAAGATAAAGGAGATATTAATTGGTTACGGAGTAAAAGCAATGTATGACTTAGAGGAAATGGACTTACTAGAGGAGTTTTAGCCATGGGGTGGATCGTTTTATCTTTTGAGTAAAGATGGATGGGTGCTTGTAGCAAGAAAAAAAAGAGGTTAGGTTCAGTCTAGAATAAAAGTAACGCATAGGTGGTTGAGATGTTAATAGTGACTTACTCTGGATGATTGTGCACCAGGAGACGTGTTAGATGAAGAAATAATTGTGTTAGGTTTGTTAGACGAAGAATCTGAAAAAAAGCAAATAGTAAGAATTTTTAAGAAATTTCAACAGAGTTTCCTCTGTATTTTATAGGTTCCTTGAACTGACTTCCTACTCCAGGACCTCTAGCCGATTCCCATCAAACACAAAATACACAACCACAATCATCAAGTTCAATCCTAATTCAGGTTGAATTTTATTTTCCAGGTTTATATTATTTAATTGATTGCCTTGAGCAATTTTAGTGAATGAGTTAATTCTAATATTAGAAAATAAACTAATCGTGAATGGAACAACTGAAAAAGAAGCTGAAACAGTAGGAATTATAAGGTTCTTGGTTTTACCGTTGATATAATTTTATTGTTTTCACCGGGAGCAGAGAATGCAAAAATTTGTGCAGGAGAATCCATGACAGAGAAAGAACCTGAAAAGAGCAGAATTAAATTAACACTTAGGTGTGTGTTTATGTGTATACACTAATGATTTTTCTCTCTCCCTTTTCTTCTTTAAACTTCTATTTTAAAGCAGAGGGAGAGAGAAAAGTCATTAGTGTGTGTGTGTGTGTATTAGAATTTGGGATTGATGGTTTTAATTAAAGTGGTTATCTCATGTTTGGAGAAGGCCATTCACATTATATATATGTTAAAAAATATAAGAAGAAGAAAAGTAGGTGAAACTCATTTATGTTTTACCTTATTTCACATTGATATCCATTGATGGGACAAAGAGGGACAAATCGAAGTCAATGGCCAGAGTGATGAATTAAGGATGAAAGGGCAGAGCTCAATCTGTGTTAGTCAACAAAAGGGACTATAAGTGAAGTTTTTAGAGTTTTGATGGGTCTTAAAATTATAGATGGTGAATAGTGTTTCTGAATAAGTAGGGTTAAATAGAGTAAGAGTAGCTGTTAATGGTAGGTGGTTTGAATATTTCTAATTTTAAATGATTTGTATTAAGATTATGGGCGTAAGTTTGAAATTTTAGTTTTATTTTAAAGTATTTGGATTAGCATAAAATTAGAAGCAAAATTTGGAAAATTCTAGCATGCTTGGGAATTGAGTTGGAGATTAAAATTGAGTGAGTTAAATAGATTTTAACACATAGATAACTGCCTATTAAGCCAATCTCATGTGTGGGGGGAAATCAGTGGCGAAGCCAAAAACTTTTGTTAGTAGGGTCAATTTCATTATATATATTATCAAATATGTACTTTTTAATATAAGTAACCAGATAATCATTTATCACCCATTCTATTGCGTAACCGACTTTTTAAAACTCATTGAGGGTAATGATCTTTCTACACTTGCAGTTGCAACTAGCAAACAACGTTAACTTGATAAGCAAGTAGACTAGAGGATAAACAAGATGTTTTTTTATCTCAACCAACTTCTTAGCAAGATCACCAATTCCTTTAACATCTATAAAATCGTCACTAGTTTGCATATCCATAATATAGGTTTTAAGTTGATTATCAAGAGCCATAAGTTCTACAGCTCAAAAGTAGAAGTAAATTTGGGATAGTCCTACCATGCTTAGGAATTGAGTTGGAGACTAAAATTGAGTTAAATGGGCTTTAACACATGGATAATGGCCTATTAGGCCAATCTCGTGTATGGAGAAAATCAGTAGCAGAGCTGTAAACTTTAGCTATTGAGGTAAATTTTATTTCAACATATATATATATATAATCTTAAAAAAATTACACTTGTCCTCAACAATTTTTCATATTTTGAAAACATTGAATAATCATTTCATTATTTATACTATCAACTACATACTTTTTAATATAAGTAACCAGATAATCATTCATCAATTGGCTACCCATTCTATTACATAATCAATTCTTCACAATCTTTATTGAGGAAAATGCTCTTTCCACACTTGCAATTGCAATTAGCAAAGTCAATACTAATTTGATAAGCAAATAGACTAAAGAATAAACAAGATGTTTTTTTTTTTTTTTTTTTTTATGTTTTTTTTTTTTTTTTTTGTTATCAAACCAACTCTTAGCAAGATCACCAAGTCCTTTTAGTGAAAGTTGTTAAAATTGCATTAATAGAACTCCAAACATGCAACACATAAAAGGCAACTATATATTACTTTATGTAAAATGACTGTTGAGTTATCTTAAAGTTGGTAAGTCTAATATGGGAATAAAATAATTCAACTGATTAATGATGTTATGTGTCTAACTTTGGAGGGTCTTACATAAACAATCTTCTAGAATTACAAAAATATCTTTCATTCTTTTTTTTTTTTTTTTTTTTGTATCAACCAACTTCTTAGCAAGATCACCAAGTCCTTTATTGAAAGTTGTAAATGCATTAATAGAACTCAAACATGCAACACATAAAAGCAACTATATATTACTTTATGTAAAATGACTGTTGAGTTCTTAAAGTTGTAAGTCTAATATGGGAATAAAATAATTCAACTTGATAATGATTTATGTGTCTAACTTTTGGAGTCTTACATAACAATCTTCCTAGAATTACAAAAATATCTTTCATTCTTGGAACGATAAATTTTTTTTCACAAAAAGAAGAAACTTCAACTATCAAGAATCTCAATCATCATCTCTCATTTATTTTAGCCTAGAGTTTAGCTAGTATCATTGCATTCGCAATATCTTAATTCGTTCTTTTTAATGCCTTAGACAATTCATTTGTCATTCCTAATATATTTATCATCAAGTGGAAGTTAAATGCAAAATCAATTCATTGGATTAGTTTTAACAAAATAATAGCTTCACCTCTCCGCTCAGAATTTAAACCATCTTCAATAATATTTTCAAGACCATCAATAATAAATAGAAATAAGATAATCAAGTTCATCAACGTACCATAGTAAAAACCCTAATGTGTATCACTTAATGCTTAAGACCTCTTTCTTAATTGAAGCCATGACCACTTGTGATTTCACTGTTATCTAATGCTTTAATAACTTTTCTAACTTGGCTATTTCGGAGGATATCTTGCCGCTTACATGAAGCTCCAACAACTTTCAACAAATTGGAAATAATGATAAAAAATAAAGTAATGAAACTATTAGTTTTTGCAACCATTACAAGAGTCAATTAAAGTTAATGAGCAAAACAATGAATATAAAATGCAAACTCATTCTCCTTTAATATTAAGCTTTTGAGAACATTAAATTCACCCCTCATATTACTAGCTCCATCATATCTCTGTCCATGAAGCCTTGATAAACTTAATGAATGTTTAACAAATAATGGTTCAATTGCTTCTTTAAGTGCTAAAGCACTTTTATCATGAACATGGACAATACCAAGAAAGCATTCAATCACATGACCATTTTTATCGACAAAACACAAACTTACAACCATTCATTCTTTTCTTGATACATCACGAGATTCATCAACCAAAATATTAAAAAAACCCATCTCCTAAAGCCTTTATAATTGTATTTTGTTGTTTCACTGTTGGATTTTTTAAATGAAAGTTGTCATATTTTATTCAATGCAAAAGACCTGTTATATACAAAAAAAAACTATTAACAATTCTTATAAAATAATGACCACTAACCCAAAAATAACTCCTTAAAATCTGTCAATACTTGCTAATCAAGCTCCAAATTTTACTTAGTCTGTTGACTAAAACAAACTAGAAATTTAGCAATTATTTAATAATAACATAAATAGATATAATTTCTACATTAATTCCTAACTCTCTCACTTGATGTAGAAATTACTAACTTGAATTTGTGTAGAAATTACTAACTTGAATTTGTCTTGTTGGAGCACCTCTCTCCAATGCCATCAATTTTTTTCAAGGCACTTCTCTTCAAATTAATCTGATGCACTTCTCACCAATTGTTGGTACACTTCTCACCAACCTTCATCTTGGAAATGGAGCATTTCTCTCCAATTTTTAGACAAGAGACTCTTCCTCCTCTTATCCGAAATTTACTTTCTGATTTTTATTCCTGCAGTCTCTTTGCAAATGGCCAAATTTATTATAACTTTAAACATTGAGGTTTACCTTTATGCCAGCGATCTTTTTCATCATGATTAGTGTATTTGCAAACACCACATGGTGGTGATTTTTCTTCTCTTAATGATTTGTTCACTATCTTAACAATGAAGGCTTACTCTGTTGGTTTGTCTTCTCTAAATTATCTCCGTTGCTCTACAGCTTGTAGTGCATTAATTAACTTAGAAACATAAATTGTTGAAAGATCTTTGGAATCTTCAAATCATGAAATTTTGGACTCAAATTTTTCAGGTAGACTAACAAGAATTTTTTCAAACAACTCTTTTTTCTGAAAATTCTTCATCAAGTAAGCTAATTTTGTTAACAATTGACTTGAGATTGCTATCATAATTGTTACTCTCAAATGTTTTCATTCTTTGAATCTCAAACTCCCTCTTAAGATTCAAAACTTGCATTAATCTTGTTTGCTCATTGTCTTGATACTCATTTTTTGAGTGAGTCCCAAGTTTCCTTTGCAGTTTTGCATGCCATGATGCTTGTGAAATTGACTCCGAAACAGAGAATGAAGACATGTTTTAGCTTTGAATTTTTTGGCTTTTTCCTCAATATGATTCTTGATTTAAAACGTAGTTGGATGGGATGATGATCAGGGATCTCTTTTTCTATTTCTATATGCTCCCATAAATCATAAGCTTGTAAATAAGCTTTCATTTTAACATACCATAGTTGATAATTTTCACCATCAAAAATTGAAGGGAAGTAAAAGGAGGGTTGTTTGCTGTCATCCCAAGTTTTTTTTTTTAAGCTCAAGGATCAAACCTAGCTCTAATACCACTTGGGATTTTTTAAATGAAAAGTTGCCATATTTTATTCAATTGAAAGGAACCTTTATATACAAAAAAAAAAAAAGAATATAATCCATTCTTATAAAATAATGACTCGCTAACTCAAAAATAACTCCTAAAAATCTGCCAATACTTGCTAATCAAACTCCAAATTTTACCTAGTCTATTGACTAAAACAAACTAGAAGTTCACTAATTATTTAATAATAAAATAAATAGATATAATTTCTACATTAATACCTAACAATTCAAGCAAAATTTATAACATCATTTTGGATCTCATGTGCGGTTATTTTCATATTACTTGGAGCATTTCTAAGACAACATTGCCAATAGCTTCATTATGATCGGTAAGAAATTGAAGAAGTTCTAGAAAGTTATCTTTATTACTCGAGCATTCTGATTCATCATGACCACGAAAAGTTAACCCTTGCCTCAAAAGAAATCGCAAACAATCAACATGTATAGTCAAGCGCATTCGATAATCACTTCGAGCTTGAATTTATTGCTTCTCTAAAGTGACTTTAATGGATTGCTTTTACTTCACTAAATCTTCACATTTCCTCCAAGCTTAATTATAAGCACTATTAGACTTCCAACATGAGTTTGCAATCTATCTTTCTTATAAAAGCTTTCACCCATGTAAGAGTTACCACCTCTTTGATTTTCAATTTTAAGCTGAAAAAGATAACAACAAAAGCAATACATAATGTCTCTTTTTATACTATGTTCTAGCCAATTCCCATATTCATCAAACCATGAAGGGTTAAAACACCTCAAGATACTTTTGATATTTCTTTGCGGAAATTGATGATCATATGGTTGATAAGGAACTTTTTGCAAGTAATATCTTTGAATTTTATCTTGATAATTAGAATAATAGTATGATATTTTAGTAGCAATGTCCAATCACTTTGTAGACTTTGTAGGTCAATCTACACACGAGATTGCTTTGAAGATTTTCTTATTTTGTTATGCATGCTTTGAGGGCTTTCTTTTTATAAAAAAAATTATCCATTACCTAATAAAACAATATATATTTCATAATTCAATTTAATTTAATTTCTAAAATAATTAGAAATTAAACATCACACGACGGTTGATTAATTAACACACAAAGAATACAACATCAAAAAGTACATAGAGCTAAGGAAAAAGTCTATTTTACATAGCCTATACTTTATTTGAATACATCTCATATTTGGAATTTTGTATATACAAATAAAATTGCAGTAATTTTGACCTTATTTTTTCTTTATAACTTCCGTTCTCTTTGATAATTTTCAATAAAAAAAATATACATAAAGAGAATTTCAAGATTTATTGAAATAATTTATTAGTAAGTGGAAAAACATAGATATTTAATAAGAGATTAAATTAGATTTCATAACTATCAAATTTCAACCCAAATAGATAATCACAAAGCCAAAAGCAAACATAAACAACATATATAATAAAGTACAAGTTAACTCTTAATTGAACAAAGAACAAATGAATTAAGTAAAATTAAGTAAAACATAGATTAAATTCCAAAAAAAAAAAAGAAAAAGAAATTGAAAGAGAGATAATATTTGAACTTACCTAGAGAAGTCTTTTGTTATACTATAGTCCAATCAAAAGAAACAAAAAGATCTGTAAAGAGGGATGAAGCATAGGAATTTGGAAAGAAATTTGTGGCAACTTCTCTTGTACTCTTCCTTCTTTATATTGTGGGGCCTTAAAATAATTATTGTTAGTCAACTAAATATGGATGTGGAGTCAAATTTATTATTTTATACAATATATGAAAAAAATTTTAATAAGGTGATTTGACTCTATTGTCAATACCTTGACGCCCACATTGTATTAGAGCAGTAACAAGGTATTTATTGTTTGTTGTTTAAGCTAAATCTTACCTAATTCTTCCTTGTAACCTTTAATTTATAATTTACTACTTGTTTAGGGATACTAGCTATTGTATAAAATTATTTTGTAAACAGCTTTGTATTTTATATACTTCTCTTCTCAAATAATCATGATATGTGAAATACAATTAATTCTTAATCACTTACATGGTATCAGAGCATTAAACCTTTCTTATTTGCTGCAATATGTCACCTTCCGCTCCCATGCGAACTTCTCACACTTTCTCTAACACCTTCTCTATCAAATTGAATACTAAAAACTACCTTGCATGGAGAATGCAATTTATTCCTCTACTTAATTAACAAAAGTTTCATAGATTTATTGATGGTTTAATTTTTGCCCCGTTAAAAACTATCACAACCATAGAACTTTTAACTTCATCTCCAAGCCCTGAATATAAAAAAATTATGTTGGAAAGATTAAATGCTATTATCTTGAATACTCTTCTCTTTGACTAAAGAAATTTTCCTTATATTTCTGGCTTATCATCTTGTTTTGATTGTGGAATGCTTTATCTCAAGCCTTCGGGTTTGTCTCTCGAAATAGGCAACTAGAAATACACATTGTATTGCAATATTGGTTTTGAATACCATTTTATCATCAGCTTAATGAATCTCAAGCCTGAACCCGTTTCCTTGTATGAACTGTATGGCCAATTAGTTGCCATGAAATTCTCATCAAAAGTGCTTAGGAACCACCAATGATAAATATCATCCTCAAATCAAATAATACTGCATCACTTCTTCTCACCTCAAATTGACCTCCAAATTTTCAACCCAACAATCGTTGACAATTTAATGGTCAAAATACTGGTTTTCTTCCTAGAGGATCTTGCCAAATTTGTGGACTGGGCAATCACATTGAAGATTGTTGTCGTCGTCATTATCAAAAAAAAATTTTTCCATCCATGTCCAAATTATTACACACAAGTCAATTATCATTCCTATAGACCATCAACTTCGAATTCTTTTGTGCCAAATTCTTCATCAATTTTATGGTTTCTGAATACATCGGCTAATTATCATGTTACTCCTAACTTTCCGCTTTGAGTACTGTTGATGAATACAAATAAACTGATCAACTCCATGTTGATAATGGTAAGGGTGTCTCAATAACTCACATTAGTATAACATCTATTCCCTCTTCTTTCCATTTTTTTAAATCTTAAAAACGTTCTTTGTACCCCATCTATTATTAAAAATTTGTTATCTATTCAAAAATTCATCACTCATAAATCTTGATTTTTTATTTTCAATTTTTGAAAACTATTCTTTTTTTCTCTGAGTTTCTTTTTTTCATAAATATTTTTAATATACCAAATCAACTCATATAAGAGATAGAAAAGAGAATTTGATAATAAAATATTTAAAAGGATATTATTTTTTTTATTTAAATACAAAAAATCTGTCTAAAAGAAGACATGTATAGGAGAGAGAGTTTTAGGAGAGACATGCAGGAGAGAGAAGAGGGAAGCATATCAACAAACAAAATAAAATTGCATAAACTACGATTTTTAGTTTCTTAAAACACCTTTTTTTTTTAAATGGTTCTGAAAAAAGTTGCAAAGTAAATTTAAACACTTCTACAACAAACATGTTTTTTTTTTTTTACCAAAATTAAACGAAAAACTAAAAACCACAAAAGTAACAAACGCCAGCTTAATTATTAATAGAGTCCATGTCTCGATGTAAAGAATGATGATGCTCCTTAAGAAAGCTTATAAGATTTCATTATATAAAGCCTATAAGTGGATTTTGAATCCGACACATGAAATAAGTTAACTGCAGCCTTAAGGAATTAATTGTTAATAGTTTAGTTTAATTGATAAGCATCTGTAATCTTAAAATGGGAGTACTATAAATATTTATGTTAGAAATTTTAAATTAATAAGGAGTTCAATTACGGATTTCTAGTGGAATAATTCATAATTTATTAAAAGTTACTAGTTTTGTAAGGTTTCTTATTATAATTAATAGCCTTATTAATTTCATTCTTGTGGTCCTTATTATGCCTACGTTAATTTGAACTTGGCCAGTAAGAGATTTGTATTTTGAACTTAATTAAAAACTAATTTGTATTTTATTTAAATAAATGAAATTCATTTTAATTAAAATAAAATAGTTTATTTAATTTGAATTCAAAGTGTCTTGTGATAAGGAGAAGTTTATTTTCTCTTATTGCAATAGACTTGGAGAAATGGAAGCGAGTTAAAACATGCAGATTGGAACAAATAGACTACATGTTTTCTTGGCTCTTGTAACAGTCTGATTTTCTTTTAGTGTCGGGAATAGTGATTTACCGGTCTGTGAATAGTACCATCGGTCCAGGACTTGGTATTATTTTAGTCCGAAAAAATTACTATGCATATTTAATATTTTATTATTTAAAACACTTCTCTACAACAAAAAAACATGTTTTTTTTTTTTTTTTACCAAAATTAAACGAAAAAAACTTAAAAAAACCACAAAAAGTAACCAAAAACGCCCAGGCTTAATTATTAATAGAGTGTCCATGTCTCGATTGTAATAATGATGATGCTCCTTAAGAAAGCTTAATAAAGATTTCATTATAATAAGCCTTATAAGTGGATTTTGAATCCGGACACATTGAAATAAGTTAACTGCCAGCCTTAAGGGAATTAATTTGTTAATTAGTTTTAGTTTAATTGTATAAGCATCTGTAATCATTAAATGGGTAGTACTAATAAATATTTATGTTAGAAATTTTTAAATTAATAAGGAGGTTCAATACGGTATTTCTAGTGGAAATAATTCCATAATTTATTAAAAGTTACTTAGTTTTGGTAACGGTTTCTTATTATAGATTAATAGCCTTATTTAATCTTCATTTCTATGTTGGTCCTTATTCATGCCTACGTTAATTTTGAAACTGGCCAGTAAAGGAAGATTTGGTATTTTGAAACTTAATTAAAAACTAAATTTGTATTTTATTTAAATAAATGAAAATTCATTTTAATAAAATAAAAATATGTTTATTGTAATTTTGAATTCAAAGTGTTTGTGATAAGGAGAAGTTATTTTCTCTTATTGCAATAGACTTGGAGAAATGGAAGCGAGTGTAAAAACATGCAGATTGGAACAAATTAGACACATTGTTTTTTGCTCTTGTAACAGTCTTGATTTTCTTTTAGTGTTCGGGGGGGGGGGGGGGGGGGGGGGGGGGGGGGGGGGGGGGGGGGGGGGGGGGGGGGGGGGGGGGGGGGGAATTAGTGATTTTTACCGGTCTATGTGAATAGTACCATCGGTCCAGTGACTTGCGTATTATTTTAGTCCGCAAAAAAAAATTACTATTGCATATTTAATTAATTTTAATTTACTATTTTTGGAGCATGTTTTGCATGATTATAGGCGGGTTAGAAAATATTTCATGAATATTGTTTGGAGAGTATGTATTAAATGAATATTATTTTCTAGTGTGTATATTAAGAAATAAATGCAGGAATTATTTTTTAGGTGGCAGTTAATTTTAATTAATTGGTGGAAAGTGAAATCATAAGTAAGAAGAGAATGTATTTTGAGAATATTTAGAGCCATTGGATGAGATTACTTAGGA